GGCCACATAAACTTTCAAGGTATGCCATCCAGTTGGGATTTTATCTTCAGAAACAGCAAATACTATTATATTGTGACATGGTTTTCTTTAGAAGGCAAAAATCTATCAGAAATCCACTTACGTTACAGAAAAACTTCAATGAAACTCAGAGGAACGTCTCAACAGGAATGCCACTGGTTCTGCATATTTCAATGTGGGAGTCCAAAGATTACTTTCTTCATTCAAACTGACTGAACTGCCACAAGATGGACCAGAAATAATTAAACAGCACAAAGGGCTACAGATTAGTCACAAGTATGATTATTTTCCCACAACCTGGAATAAAAAAGTTGGGGAAGATTTAACTCTCCTGACTTAATATTGTTATGCTAACTTTTTAAAATTCCTTGTCACTAAGAACATAATTAATTCTTCAAACCAGAAGGAGAAAAAAAGGATGCAAACAACGTATAAAGCTCAAATATAACAACCAGGATCTACAGCTCCCTAATTTAATACTGGTCAAGACTTTAACCAAAGGAGAAATATTAGTCACCCTCAGTCAAGAATTAGATATGTCAATCAGATCTCAATAAAGCTGGAATATGTAAACAACATTTTTAAAAATTTAACCTAGAACTGGAAAAAAGAGTGAGGAGGATTTTAGAGATACTAACCAATTCAACTCTTTCTCTAATCTCAATTGCAAATCACACTGCAATGGTCAGTTCTGGCTATAAAGGCTGTAAGCAAGAAATGAAGGAAATAGACAAAATCGTCTTTGATGCAAGAATCAAACTTGCAGAGGAAACTGTAATAAAGCAAAAAAGCACTGGGGAAAAGGGGCACTGAAAGGATGCCATCTGTGAAGTTTCTGAGGAGGACTAACTGGGCATATAAACAGGGCAGAGAGCTGAACGTGCACCGGCTGACAAGTAAGTAGCTCCTGGGGGGTCTATGACACCTAAAATGGCCAACAGCGGACAGTCAATGTTGAGTGTATTAGAGCATTTCTGTTGGCCATGTTCCTGTACCGGTATTAAGTGCACGTGATAGTTTACCTGAAATCCCAAACTGCCACAAAACCCAACAGATTCATTGTTCAGTGCACTACCGCCTCTTTCAGGAGCCTCTGCTGGCAGTACTTCCTGGTGGCTCTGCCACCTCCTCCACTGGGCTTCCCAGCCCCTGAGCCTTCCAGTCTGGCCAAACCCGGGCACTGAACAATTGCTCAACCGAGTATTACACAGATTACCACCGTGAAAGCTGTAAAGAAATAACAAAGGGCGCCGAGGACCAGCTTCTACTCTGGGGTCTGGCCAGCAGACACCGACTTGACAACCTTTTCCGGGACCTGGAAGTGTGGACACCCTACACGTCCCAGTGCAGGTGGCTTCCTTACCTGCATAGAAGCGAATGAGGCAGCCAACCTCCGAGTCCATGCCTTCCTCCTGCACCCTCCACAGCTCCCCAAATCCCAGTTGAAAGAGGTAGTCATTTTGGATCTGCAATGGCTTCTCGTCCGCCTCCAGGCGCCGGGTGGTCTCTCCGTGGAACTGCACGTAAAGGGTGGGCAGTGGGGGCGCCTTCTCCGCGATCGCCACGGTCCCACCACCCGGGATGGTCTGGGGGAGGCCCGAGGCCGCGGCTGCTGCTGCCGCCGCCTTCTCCTCCCTGGAAGGGTCGCAGGTGGCCCCATCCAGGCCGTCCACAGCTCTTGGGGCTTTTGGCTGCAGCAGAGGCAGGGAGGCCGCCACGGGGGAAGGAGGCCGGGCATCCGCTCCGGGTCGGGTGTGTGCAGAGCGGTCCGGCGGACAGGACTGGCCCGGAGCTCCCGCTGGGATGGGGGCCGGATCGGCCTCGAGCTCCTCGGACGAGGACGAGGAGCCGCCGCCGCCACCGCCGCCGCCGCCGCTGCTGTAGGGGTCCAGCCGGTCAGACACGCTCTCGGCGCTGGGGCTCAGGCTGAAGCTCTCGGTGTCGGAGACCGGGCCCGCGATCGCGCCGTCCAAGGGCCGTGGGGTGCCGGTCTCGCCGGGGCTGGAATCCGAGAGCGCGGGGCTGACCCGGGAGGCGGCGCAGGGCGTCCAGCCCCTCGGGCCGCGGGGCAGCGGCAGGTCCGCAGGAGGCGCGCGCGGTGGCGGGGCCCCGACGGCAGCAGCCGGCCCGCTCTTCCTCGGGGGTGGCCCCAGGTCCCGTGGCTCCGCGGGCTCGTTCCGGGGGCCGGCGTCGGGGCGCCCCTTGCCCAGCACCTTGACCACGCCGCCGCCCTTGTGGCCCACCTGCAGCAGGCGGGCGGCCACCTCGCCGGCCGTGGTGTCCAGCGTGCAGAGCACGGGGCGCAGGTAGGTGGAGGCCGAGTGGCGATCAAAGACGTGCACGCAGCCCCGCTGGAGCTGCTGCCTCACCCAGTCGCGGTCCGAGGGCTGCAGCTGCAGCATCTGCCGGTGGTGCTTCAGGAGCAGCGTCTTCCTGTCCAGGCTCCGGGTGCACAGCGACGCCGCCGAGGCCGAGCAGGAGGCGGAGAGGCCGGCGGCTCCGGAGGCGTGCGAGGCGGCGGCGGCGGCGGCCGAGGAGGACGAGGACGACGAGGCGGCGGCGGTGGTGGCGGACAGATTCCTCTTCAGCCGCCCTCTCCTTAGCAGCAGGGAGTTGGCGCCGCCGCCGCCGCCGCCGGCCCCGGCCCCCGGGGCAGCCCCGCCAGCAGCGTTGGGCTGGGGCGCGCCGCGCCGCCTCCGGCGCCCCGTGCCTCCCGCTCTGCCCGGCAACGGCCCGGGCTGCGCCTCGCCGGGGGCCTCCTCCCGCGCCCCGCCGCCGCTCGGGGCCGCCGGGCTCGGTGCGGGCTCCGGGCTCCGGCCGCCCCCGGCCGCCGCCGCCACCGCAGCCGGAGCCCGGTCCTCCCTGCTGGTCTCCGGCAGGCGCTGCGCCGGGGCCGCGGCGGCGGGCTCCATTGCAGTGGGGCTTCGCGCTTCCCCCCCAGCCCGGGAGGCAGCGGGCGGAGAGGGAGGCGGGGAGGCCAAGGTGGGAGACGGCGGGCGCGGGGAGGAGGGAGAAGCCAATGGCGATCGGCGCGGCCGTTCCACGGGATTATGTGGCAGTTCGGTGCATTCCGTCGGTGTCTCGGTGTTCCATCCCGCGCTCCCGCCTCGCCGCCACCGCCCCCCCTCCCCACACACACACACACACACACTCACACACGCCCTCCCCACCCGGCTCGCGGGCTCCCGCGCGCAGGCTCCGCCCTCTCCCCCCACCTCCCGCCGGCTAGCCAGCCGCGGAGCGAGGTTCATTGAATATTAATCACGCGCCCAGAGCGGGAAGGCGGGAGTTGGACCGGGCGGGCGCTCCCTCCACGTGAGCCTCATGAATATGCATCACGAGCAATGACGGCATTCCTGGGAGCAGTGGGGAGAGCTGGGGAACGCGGGGAGGCGGGGCTTCAGAGTAAACAAACCTGACGCGTGCGTACGCGGGCGGGGCAGGGGCAGTTTCCCGGGAGGTCCCTGTGCCGAGGGGAGTGGCTGAGGAGGGGCGTGCGATGCACCCTGGGATTTGTAGTGCCAGTGAAGGGACGCAGGTGCCCGGAGGAAACGGACGAACTACAAGTCCCAGAGATTCTTACACTTTGCCCCTCCTTGCCGCCTGCTGCTGGCCATTGACAGTGGGTAAGTGTGCCCTCTGCTGTTGAACTCTGTGCCCGGGAATGTTCTTGGTTCATTAATTTGTACACAACCCTCACTCTCCTACTCCCGCTCCCCAGAACACTTTCATTTTCCCTGCTAATTGAAAATAAGGGCTTTGAGGGACTCTAAATGCTACAAAGGTCCCGAGTTGTAGGTCCTCACCTTCACCCATTGTGTGAGATACAAATATAAAAACTAAGCCAAGCTCAGGTTTTCCCCACTTTTTCAAGGCAAGGGGAGACAATGTCTGGTTATTGTTATTTGGGTGATTGTTAAATGTGGAAATCGTGCAACCCCGAGCCGATCCTCTCCTATGCCCACACCTGAAAAGGGAAGAAGGCCTAAGTCAAGGGTCTCCATTTGTTTCCCTTTGATCTTCAAGTTTGGAATAAATGACATGGAAAGCAGCGAGTGTGTCTATATATTAACTCCCAAATATCTGCTTTCTAAAGTTATATTTCTTTAGCTAATGTAACAAACTCAATGAAAGTTTTAATTATAAATACTATCACCATTAGCCCAGTGTCCATTAGTATCCTCTCTAACAGTGGTCGGCAAACTCATTAGTCAACAGAGCCAAATATCAACAGTACAACGATTGAAATTTCTTTTGAGAGCCAAATTTTTTAAACTTAAACTTTTTCTAACGCCACTTCTTCAAAATAGACTCACCCAGGCCATGGTATTTTGTGGAAGAGCCACACTCAAGGGGCCAAAGAGCCGCATGTGGCTCGCGAGCCACAGTTTGCAGACCACGGCTCTCTAAGAAATTATAAACATGTTCTATATTTAATTTTTTTTCCTCAAAAAATTAAATATAGAACTGCTTTATGACTTGGGATTCAACTTCTCAGTATATCTGAAGAAATTCAAAACACTAATTTTTTTCTTTTTTTGAATGGGAGGAAGGGGGGAGAGAGAAGCATCAATGTGAGAGAGAATGGGTTGCCTCCTCACACACACTCAGACCCCAGCCCGAATCAGGCCTGCAACTCAGGTCTCGAACCTGGACCCTTTGGGTTCTAGAAGCAACAGTCCAACCACTGAACCAAACCAGTCAGGGCCAAAACACGAATTTAAAAGAATATATGCACCCCTATGTTCATTGCAGTTATTTACAATAGCCAAATATGGAAGCAATTCAAGTGCCCATCAATAGATGAGTAGATTTAAAAAGTTGTGGTACATACCCTGTTTCTCCAAAAATAAGACAGTGTTTTATATTAATTTTTTCTCCCAAAGTTGCGCTAGGTCTTATTTTCAGGGGTTGCCTTATCTTTCCATGCGCTAGGTCTTATTTTCGGAGGATGTCTTATTTTCAGGGAAACACGGTATATGCAATGCAATATTACTCAGCTATAACAAAAGAATGACGTCTTCCCATTTACAACAGCATGGAGGGACCTATGGTATTATGTTAAGTGAAATAAGTCAGTCAGAGTAACACAAATACCATATGATTTCACTTATATGTGGACTCTAAAGAAAAAAATAAATGAACAAACAAAATTGAAACATACTCCTAGATACAGAGACCTGACCTGTGGTTGCCAGAGGAGGTGGGGTTGGGAGTAAAAGAGTTGAAGGGATTAAGAAGTAGATTGGTAGTTGCAAAATAATCATGGGGATATAAAAGTACAACATAGGGAATATAGTCAATAATATTGTAATAACTATGTATGGTGTCAGGTGGGTGCTAGAATTTCAGAAAAAGTTTGTGATTCTGACCACAAAAGTAAATTATAGTACTGTACTTAATCTAGCTCTGGTTCTTGTCATTTAGCATTACACAGTCACCTAGCCTTTTTATCCGCCAGGAATTTTGTTTACTCTTTGAAGTTATTTATAACCAGAACACCTCCTCCAAGGGGAAAATTTTTTTTTAAAGAAAAAGCATTGCTTGGAATATTTAGAATCCAAAATATAGGAAGGGGGTAGAGATGGTATAAGAAATTATTAAATTGGGAGGAGGAGAGGGCTAATGTAGAAACTATTGCATGCATGGTGTTCATAATCTGAAAGATGCTATGTTCCCTTTTACTTAGAATAATGAAACTTTGAGTTGGGTGGAAAGAAGATTAAGGATCCACAATGTGACTCAAACCTTGTTCCACCTCCAAACCTTCCAACTTGAAGGTGAGAGGAGAGACAGAAAGAAAATGAGAGTTCATAAATAGGCAGTGTCCTTAACACCAGATCAACTGGAATCTGGTAGTTGAAATAATACATTGATAGGGCCATGAAACTTGTACCTAGAGTTTACTAGTATTGTAAAATGTCATTAGACCACTTGAGCCAGCACACACTATACTGAAATAAGAAAAGGATTTCAGTACAGGATAAATATTTTCCAGACACCCATGAAATAGCTTCTACTTTATTATTTTTTTTAAATATATTTTATTGATTTTTCACAGAGAGGAAGGGAGAGAGATAGAGAGCTAGAAACATCAATGAGAGAGATACATCGACCAACTGCCTCTTGCACACCCCCTACTGGGGATGTTCCCCCAACCAATGTACATGCCCTTGACCAGAATCGAACCCGGGACCTTTCAGTCCGCAGACCGACGCTCTACCACTGAGCCAAACCGGTTTCAGCTAGGTAAACCCTGTTTGCATCCTCAGATCCAAGATAAAAGTAATTATCTTTGGAATTTTTTTCTAATATGAATAGTTGGAGTTTTAACAAAGGCATGAATTGATAGCTGGGATGCCTTCAGTCTGTTAAGGACTCAGCTGCGTCCAGAAATGAACTTAGAAAGATGCAATATACAATGTAATACATTTAGTTAGTACATTATGAACAGGAATCTAATTATAGTTTCACATTTTTATATCCCTTGAGCTACTAGTGGTTTACCATGACTAAATTGCTCACTATTTACTCATTCTTTTTTTTTTTTTTTTTTTTTTTACTAAGAGGGATCCATTTAGCAAATTACTGCTCTGGTGCACTAAATGAGCCCCAGGTGGCCAAACTGAATTCATATGTTTTCTGCTCACTGGCAGGATGAGACCTCCTGAGCTGGCTAAAGCTTTACCCCGCCCTTCTGAGAACTCTTCCAGAGCCTAGATTAACATTACTGCCTTCGGTAGTCCATTTTATAGATACAGTTTGACAGCTTTTCAGATTTTAGTGTACCATTTTTAATCCCATAATCCTTTGGGGTTTTTTTATTTATTATTATTTCTCACATCCTGCCTCGTAGAAATAAACATATGTTGAAGGTCACAACAATGAAGTATAGATCGGATAAAGACCATGGAATCCCAGTGCTTCTGGTAACAATGTAAATTACCTGGAGCTTTTATGTGTCAGCATCATTTACCCCCACTAAAGAGAATGAACAAAAATGCCTGCAAGAAATCTTATATATAGGCATTGTTATTTCCTTTTCATCTTTAGTTAAAATTTATCTATTCTCTTCTTTTATATACACAGTTCTTGTTTTAGGCAAATGGGAATTATAAGAACTTAGATATATAAATTATATATTAAGGTATGAATATTTCTTCCCAGGCTATTCTTCGTTCTTTCTCTTATATATGACTTTATCATACAATTGCTTTAAATACTGGGTTTCTAAATTATTACTACACTCAAAATGTCTTAATTTTTAGAAATTGATAAATAGCCAGCTTTTTAGAAATGCATTTTGGATTCTAACAAGTGCCTAATACCTCTTTCCATTCATATCTAACATAAATCCTTCCTACATCATTCCAAGGAAGATTTTCCCCGAATCTTCTTTAATAATATGCAAAGTTGGATGTCATAAGTTCTTCTACTATTACACTAGTTAAGTATGACCTTGGGAAGATATTTGACCTCAAGGAGGCTTCAGTTACTTATTTATGAAATGAAGGATCAAATTAGGTAGTGTCTCTAAAATCTCTTCTAGCTCAAAACATCTTTTTTCTGATTCTGGCTAAAAACAAATCGTCTAACTTGAGATATTGGCAAATGTTTTTGTCAGTCACAAAAGAAAGACTTTCGCATTTAAATGCTATTAATTTGAAATTTAAAAAAAGCTTTTAAGACTGCTTCTTGCCATTTAAAAGAATTTTGAATGCATTTAAAGTAACAGCAGGTTTATTCTGACATTTAAGAAAACTGCTGGGTTTCCAGTCCTTTGAAATATGAATTTGTCATGAATAGGAACCAATCCATGACAGCAAGAATCACAGCTTCAGATTCCCAAACTCGAGTCTTTATCAGTTTTCCCTTTTATGGTCACAGATGGGTAGAAATCTCATTAGCACAGCGTAAGGTCACAGAAACTAGAATACCAGCCCCAGTGAGCACATGTGCACCAGGGGACATGGACAGGCATGTTGACAGCAGCCACAGTTCACATACCAAAACCTGCAATCAACCCAAATATCCATCAACAGCAGAACGGACACATAAGGGTAGTATAGTCCTAGGTTGAAATATCAACACAGCAACAAAAAAGGAATAAATGATTACAATGCTAGACAAGCATGTTTCTTAAAAGAAGCCAGACACATGATTCCATTTATATCAAATTCAGGAACAAGCCAAACTATTATGTATTTTTGGAGGATGCAATTTAGGTAGCAAAACTGAAATGAAAAGAAAAGAAAGCAAATTACACAAACCAACTTGGTAGAAGAGAGTGAGATGTGACTAGGAAAGGAGATATGGGGGTCTCTGGGGCTCTGACAGCGGTTTGTGTTTGAACTGAGGTGGTTACCTGGGTCTCTGTTTTAAAAATAATGTACATTTGTACTTTATACACTTTCCTGTTTGTTTTATGCACCATAACAAATGGGACTTTAAATTTTTTAAAGATCAACTGTATAATTTTGTACAATCTGAACACACTATGTTTTGTCAATAAACTTAGGTTGTTTCCCACCACTTGTTTAATTCACTTAGGATTCTATTTATCAATTAAATCAATTGCTAAATTGTCAATCTAATGTAATTTAAGAGAGAACTTTAAACATTACCTTCAAACTAAGAGTTCATTGTAGAAAGTGTTGACAATGTTGAAAACTCTAAAGATGCAAGAATGAACAACAAAAAAATCTAACAACCCAAAGTTATTGTCATATTTTCTCCCAGATATTTTCTATGCATTTTAATGTTGTAGAGAGCATGATGTACTTACAATTTTTCTATTCTGCCTTTCTCTCTCAAAACTACGCTAGAAACACTTTCCCGTGTTATTTAAAAAAAAAAAAAAAAAAAACTTACCTTAAACATAATTTTAAATCTCTAGATGAGCCAGGACCGGTTTGGCTCAGTGGATAGAGCGTCGGCCTGCGGACTGAGGGGTCCCGGGTTCGATTCCGGGCAAGGGCATGTACCTTGGTTGTGGGCACGTCCTCAGTGGGGGCTGTGCAAGAGGCGGCTGATCGATGATTCTCTCTCATCGATGTTTCTAACTCTCTATCCCTCTCTCTTCCTTTCTGTAAAAAAAAATAATAATAAAATAAATAAATAAATAAATAAATCTCTAGATGAAAATGCGTCATTTGAGAGAACCATAATTTATTTAAACTCTCCATAAGGTGTGAATTAATGACCAAGTAGGATACTATGCTGGCCCTCAGTGTTTTGATGCTATTTTTTGTACTATTCTATTTGTGGTAATAAGAATATGGTTATAGCCAATATTGCTACAGTCATCTTTCCTTATCTCCCCATCCTGCAACCACAGTTTAGCAACACTTAAATCAGACAGTGTCTGAAGTCCTTTGTAGATCAGCTTCTGAGGAAGTGAAAATGAGAAAACATTACCAAGTGCCTCTAACATGCTAGGGTATGGTGGCCAGATTTAGCAAATAAAAATACAGGCAACTAGTAATTAAACTATTCGAACATGTTAATATGGGGGAAAAATCACGTGTGGTTTCTCTGAAATTTGAATTTAACCGGCAGCCCCATCCTGGAGCACTGCCACACTTGTCATATATATTTTCTAACTTAATCCCTTTGACCTTTTAAGAGTTAAATTCCCATTGTAAAGAAGAGCTCAGAAAGGTTCATCATCTTTTCTAAGGTGACACAGCTTGAAAGAAGCAAAGCAAGGGTAGAAACCCAAGCTGACACCAAAATTAGGGCTCCAAATTTTGTATCCTACCCTCTTGTGCTTGAGTAATAGGGACCCAATTCTCCCTAGGTGAGAGAGGGTGTTTTTGGTCTTCATTTGCTGGCATTATTTCTTTTTAAAAATTTGCTCATCGCTCGTAAGTATTGTTATGTTAAAAACAAACACTAATTTAAACAACATGATTACTACACCCTGGTGACAGGACATGATTTTAAAACAAGGCCCAAGAAAAGAGGCTTTTGTTCAACCAGAGCAGCAAGAGTGAGCTCTGACACTCCCTTCCCCACCCATTCTCCCATCACACATTCTGCTCACAGTCAAATGAGATCATTTATTATACCTTAATCACTCCTAGAAACCTCAAGAGTATCTGTTTTCTGATGTGCTTTTTAATTTTATTTTTTCATATTTCTGATTAAATAAATAACATAAAGGGCCACCCTTCCAGAACTGGCTCCTCTGCAGTTTGGGAGGACGCAGGACCACAGTGTACATTATCTTCATCTTCCCCTTCTGAGGCATATCCCAACTCATAGTGTGACACCAGCCAGAATGGTCTCTCTGGCTTCTCCTCATTGATCCCTTTAGCCTACTGCTTCCTTTCTCCACCCGCAGATTCTTTTCAGACAAGCCATTTGGCACAGAGATTGACCACCTCTCTGAGCAGAAGATGAAGCTTCCCCTAGGCCCTGAAATAAGGAGGTGCCAGAGGGGACAGTGTCAGAGGGGAGTGGGTGTCAGAGGGGAGTGGGTGTCAGAGGAAAGTGGGTATCAGAGGAGAGTGGGTATCAGAGGAGAGTGGGTGTCAGAGGGGAGTGGGTGTCAGAAGGAGAGTTGGTGATGGAGGGGAGTAAGTAATGGAGGGGAGTGGGTGTCAGAGGGGAGTGGGTGTCAGAGGGGAGTGGGAGGTGGAGAAGAGTAGGTTTTGAAGGGGTATGGGAGGGTGGGTGCAGAAGGGGTGCAGGTGTCAGAGGTGAGTGGGTATTGAAGGCAAGTGGGTGTTGGAGGGGAGTGCAAGCAGGAGCTAAAACAGGAAAAGATGCTATGTTCCTGAGATGCCCATGGATGTGGCTCCATGAAAGGCCCAGGTGAGATACATAGTAGAGCTTTGAAGACTCCACAGTGCCACCCATGAGGCCCCCAGTCCTTGCTCCAGGAAAGCATATCTGGCCAATGGCATCTAGCTCTGAACCAAGAGGGTCAGAGGTTCTCTCTCCCGCACAGAGGGAAGCAGGTGTCAGACTCACAGCAGAATGTGCCAGCAGCTAGCAGCCACACTTCCCCTTCGGAAGCCCTGAGAACCCCACCAACCCCCAGAGCAACTCCGAGCCCTGGCATCCTGGCCAAGCTGGCACACTTGCCAAGTTCAACCCACTTACAGACAAGCAAGGTAGTTGGCCAGGAAGCAGATGGCAACTCCAATGTGAGCTTGTTAATTGTCTCGGAGAGGAAGGTGACCAAGACAACCGCAAGGATTCCCTCAGCTAAACTTGAAACAGACTTCCTCCTCACTGGAGGCCCTGAAATCCTTTTACTTAAAGCATTTTCTCTAGAAAATTCAGCACTGCCTATTCTCTACCTGCTCTGAGATGTATGTAATTTTTTAAACCTCTTGCCAGTTTAATGACCCAAAAATATCTTTCTCAAAGGTCTAGGAGCCACCTCTTTGAAATTTCATCATCTTCCAGTTGCTGTGGGAGATTAGGAGCCTCATTTCAGTGGATGTCTAGATCCACGTTGCAAAACGACCTCCTATCATAAAAATATTAATTTATTTTTCCTTTGGATAAAGCCAAGTAACTAACACAGACAGCGTAACATTCCCCAGTGCTCTTCCCCTTGCTTGCCCAGCCTTCAAAACCCCTGCTGCCCCCAGTGCAGTGGGATTAAGCTCAGACTAAGTTCCAGTCTGTCTCCCCTTGTTGCTATAGCCTTAAGTAAAGTCTTCTCTGCCTGTTTAACTTTGGTGCATCTTTGCTTTGGAAGGAAGAATCTACTTTCTGATAATTTCCTAACTTTTAAACAAGTTATACTTTTGCATCATGCTTATAAATTAGAATTGCCATAGGACAGAATTGGACATAGATTCAAAGCTGAAAACGTGGACACTTTAGGGATGTGACTTGAGAAAAAAGGCTTTCCTTCCCCAAAAACATCTCCATAGCTTCTCTGCCTAGCTTGCCTTGAAATGACCATATTCAGACAAAGTAAT